CTAACGAAAAACTAATGGTAGTAGAAAAAGTACAGTAGACATAAACTTCGTTTATATTTCTAAACAAACGTGACTAAAATATCGTTTGTCAAACTTGTTGCATAATATGCTATTTCATGTTATGTTATAAGAGTAGCATTTTGCCTTTCGTTTATGTTGAAAGTGTCTTTTCATAATGTTCTCGTTTGCATAGCATACGGACCGCCGCTTGTAAATAAATATAAAACACGACGGAAATAGTCGACCGTAATACATCTGGATAAGATTCGAGCAGCGAAATCCAGAAGTTAACGCTCGATCAATCATAAGTTGCCTGGGTGGTTGTCATAATTATCGCTTTTCTGCGCTTTTGCGCTTAGTGAGCTATTTTGTAAAGCGGTAATCTTCCGAATACCTTCAAATAATTTTCTGCCTCTTCCTCTTTTATTTATAACCTTCGAATGAGGGGGACACATTATTTTGGGCCTCACATGCCTTATTACCCCAAACTTGCATACTTTGAAAAAAAAAGAAATTACGCGATCCTTTTTGGGTATATACAACATAACTAAAGGAAATAAAAAACAGAGGAAAGAACAATTAAATCGCAAACATAGGACCTGAGGCGAAGCTTTACCTTACTTTACATTATTTCATTAAACATAAAGCTGTCAATTTTAGCAGATAACAGAAAAGGAAAATATTATAAAATAGAAGTCTATATACTATCTACTATATATACCACCCTTTATATCTATTTTTTTTTAAATAATAACAGTAGAAAAAAAAACAGTGTAAGTACGAAATTATTAAAGTTTTTACCTCAAAATGTCAACAAAATTTTAAAGCAAATATACAATTTTGCAAATTTGATGAATTTTCAAATGGAACGCGCAGTGCCTTATTTAAAATTTTAATGAGTTTTACTTATATTACTCTAAAATTTATTAGATGTGATTCATTAAAATGTTTATTAGATATGCATTTGAGAATACACTAATATTTTCTCTTTATATATGCTAAAAACAAATATTTTATAACTGCAGCAATTTTAAGGGGGTAATAAATCATTTTAAAAAAATGAAATGTATAAAAATATGAAGTATTTTAAAAAAATCAGCAGTAGTCAAAGATTTCCATTAATAGAAAAAATTGTCATTTTTGACGAGCAGTATTTATAGTTTTTTTAATAAATTAAAGAACGATTTGTAAGAAGGGTGTAAAAATGTACGAAACAATTTTTCACCTTATAACATTTTCAGAAAACTACGTAGTCTCAGAAAGAAGCTGTTTCGGAATTCCGTAAATTATAAATGGTGCGCATTTGTAAATGTCATATTAAAATAAATCTTCGCGCTTGTTGAAAGGGTCCGCCATAATTCGGCAAACACTTTAATATCCACCTTGAAAAACTATTTATTTCTATTAACTGAAGTAGCGAACAAACAATGAATGAAATATAAACAGAAACACCCTATAACGCCTAAACGTCTCGACGACGATATCCAAATATTCGCAAACGACGAAAAATAAAATCTTTGAACTGCCGCCGCTCCTTTCTATTAAATTAACCGCCAAAAGCTTTGACTGCGCTCATGAAACCGGCTAACCATTGCCGTACCAGAAAATCAGCTTTACATTGACAAAAGCCGCTTACGGTTGACTCTATATTTTCCATCCCTCTCGAGCGAATCAGCAAGACTTCTCTTTGTTTGTTTTATTAAATACGACGTGCATTCCCTTTAACGCGCTAGCGAAAAATATTTTAGTTTACTCTGAAATTTACTTGTATCAAAGTCCTATAATTTCTGGCCAAGTCATAGTGACGGATTGAATGGAGAAAATGGTGATCCAAGGAAGAATAGACACTAAAAACCAAGAGGCAGACCTCCTCTTAGATTCATAGATCAAAGTCTTACAAATATGTCAGTGGCATAAATCACGAGAACAGGAGAGGGTACCCGGGAGGATAGAGCATCACGGAGAAGGCTTGTAACCTGACTGAATCACGATGCTAGCAGCCATAACTGGAAAGAAAGAGATATAGACCTCCTTAACTGGCAGTGCTCTAAATGAACAATTTTAAAAGTATATTTTTTTACCCACATTAGTCGCAAGTAACAAATATCAACTAACGATCTAATTGGTCACTAAACGAAATGGAAATATGAATAATGCTTCGATATTAGAAAAGAAAAGAGAGATTTATGAAAACCTTACAATGGTAGTAGTCATGACAGCAATAGAGGCTAGAGAAGCATATAGCGGACACGTGATATGATTGAGTCACGATGCTAGAACTCGAGCTGCAACTGGAGACAGAGAGACTCTGATACTCTCTTAATTGGCAGTTCTCTTCTAAATGAATAATTTTGAAAGCAGGAATTTCATGTGTAATGGCTTATTTTTAATCACATTGGCCTCAAATAACGAATATGAACAAGAGAAAACTTGCAAAGTCTTAAGTCAAAACGTTACGACTGGAGAGAGAAAGGCAGAAGAAAGAAAGAAAAGGCAACAGATATTTTTTAACCACAATGGTCGCAAATAATAAATATCATGTAACGGTTCAATTAAATCACGAAAAAATCTTATAGAAGAAAATCAAACGATTTTTGTTTTGTGTGCAGAGACAACAAAAACCACTCGCTCCGCTCGTGTCAAATAAACTCGTGAGTCAAATGCCGTTTACCGACCGTGTTGCATACTATACTTTTTCTACGAGCGTTTGTTTTTGGGGAACATTTTCTCAAAACAACACGAATACATTCACTGCCATGACTGTCAGAATTGATAAACGTCAAAATTCAACGGGTGGGAAATATCTACGAAAACATCCGATTGCACCCAAACCCGTGCGGTAAAATTCCGGAAATGTCCGAAGTGGCTCGGATCCGTGGGAAACGAAATGGACGTGGTAAAGTGACGCTTCCCGCACGCTTGATCGGTGGGTAATTAGGTATTTTACAGACGGGAGTAGAAAAAAGAAATTTAATTGCCCGGTTGGTTAAATTAATAAATTAATTAATAAATTAATAAATAAAGCCGTGCGGTAATATCTCCGAAAACATCCGATTCCGGAAATGTCCGAAGTGGTTCGGATCCGTGGGAAACGAAATGGACGTGGTAAAGTGACGCTTCCCGCACGCTTGATCGGTGGGTAATTAGGTATTTTACACACGGGAGTAGAAAAAAGCAATGTTAACGTCCCATTTGCTATACAAGAGAAAACCATTTTTCTTTAGGTGCATACTAGAGTACGCCTAATGAACTAGCTTGTAATGGCTCTAGATGAGAATGGAAACTAGTTTCCATACATAGGGACGGACACATGAGTCTTCTAAGCATGGCTAAAATTTCAGGTGGACAATTTTGTTGTTTTTGTTTTGTTGCAGTTGTAAATATTTTTGCGCAAACGCAAAAAGAAATAACCTTAAGCTACTCTCCCAGTCCATGCGGATACACGCGAATTTGTGATCTTGCGAACAACTAGATACATAGAATAGTTAAAATGTCTTATCGGGATTTATATTTTGCGTTATTCCTAATTACTACTTCTTCAAAATTAAATTTTTAGAAATTAGAAATAAATAGAAGTTAACAAATTACGTACCTGGTAAATTAATTATTTGGGAAACTTCATTCCACAAGAACTTTTGTAAATTACGATGGTGATAATTTGGTTTCCGGTGATCCCATAAGTATTTCCGCCCTCGTACTAAATCAATTAGCTTTTCGGTGTTCATTTTTTTTAAGAGGAATCGTGCAGCAGAACTACGTACAATCGCAAATATCCCATCCAAACAGGATCTGGTCGCCCGTTGGGTGCTAAAATACGCTGCGACATAGAGCATTTTCTTCAGAATTTAGAAATTGTTAGTTGGAACCTATGTGTAAGACTTCAATGAGATATAAAAATCACAGGAAAGGATAAAGATTACTGTTCGAGTTGAAAAGACGAGTGTCCCAATAGTATCCAAGAATGCTACGGGAAATAAGCTTCCGAAGAACCTAATTGGTGTTTCTTTTTGCTTAATCTGTAGATTGAATAGTGCAAATTATATTTCACTTTGAAATTAGAGCTTCCAGACAAAAACTAATATTCGAATTCGGGCATCAAATGTGGAACTTTATTTCTCCTACTTTGGGTTTTGAATAAATTCGCGGATTTTGCGGCTTTTTCAGGACTTCAGATCGGTTCAGACAGCGTGCAATTGAAAATCTTCTTTATAATACCACTGACATATATGTGACATTGCAAATTAACTCTTCTTATTGCCAAAATAAGATGTCACATCATCATTTTAGTTAGTTATTAGCTTTGTTCAATACCTATAAGAAATAGTCTCCTCCATAAGTGATCTTTAAACCTGTTAATATGCTTTAATTAAAAAAAAATGCAATTTCTCATTAATAAATGTGTGTTCCTCTCAATGGTCTAAGCAAAATCGGAGTCGATGGCAACGCTGCCTAATTTTAACTATTTTTATTGTCGCAGTGCTCGTGTGTGCTCTGTCTGCCTTTTTTTACAATACCGTCCAGTCTCGTTCTGTTTGGCTCTTGCTTAATGTTAAATCGAGTGTGGTCGAAACCGCTCAAGCCAGCGTTGTGTTCCAATGTTATAACCTTGATAAACACACTTCCGCCTTTGCCAGAAAGATTAGAAAAACTCGAACTTTGAAGGAGAAGAAGAATGCAACGTGTATTCGATTTTCCTTTTTAGAACATAGCACTCAATTTGGAGAGTCCTAATTTTGATATACCCCAAGCATTTTGGTTTCAGTATTGCGCATTTGATTTTTTATATTTACGAATTCTATCTGTCCAAATAATTGAGATGTTGAAAAGAAATTATACAAAAACTGGTCACCTTATGACAGTATACGAGTAGATCACCTTAATTTTTTAAAATTATGTCTTGAGCTTAGCAATTTTGCATATTCTATGTAGATTTTGATAATCAAATTTGATTTATACGGTAGTGTTATTTGGTTCGAATTCTATATAGGCTTGTCGCAAGGCGCAGAATTGGATATAATATTGGAACACAGCCCAGTAGTACACATGTGATCGTCGAAACAGTTTTACGCATTGTAAACAAAAAAACAATAACAGACAATAACAAGTTTTTGTGCTTTACAGGCCTGTTCCGTATAGTAGTGGTATTTTTAGTCTGTTTTTAAAACCCATCCTCCATTATATTGTCATTGCATAGCTGTGTGATTTTCTCTGTCAAAAAGTCTAGAACCGAGTCTAGAACAGACATTATTTATACAACACGATGCGGATGGTGCCGGATACGATAAGACAAAATCTGCGTTTGATTCTCGAGAAATATTGACATTCGAACGAGTCCAAGTAAATCAAAGTTACAGGTATGCCGTGGGAGTCGAAAGAAGCGATAAAGTTTGATGACCTTATTTTTCACGTACCGTTAACTCGAGATTTTCGTTTTATTTATTTTTAGTTCAGGTTGCCTTCGCAAACGAGAAATTCATGTTGGTTGCGTTGGGTAACCAAAAATTATAAAAATTCTGATTTCTGGTATCAACCTGATCTCCCCAATTGCGAACAATAAAAGTGGCATCAATTATCACAATAACATTTTTATTTCATTAAAGAAACAAAGTCCAATTACCATTTTGAAAAATATTCAGACATTTTTGTGTTGTTTGAGGGATGGTGAAGATATGGTTACGTTATGTTAATATAATTCAACTCGACAAACCTTATAGTTATGATATGAAATTGAATTTCTTGGCTAAAATTTAATTATAACCAATTTTCACTTCCTTGTCTGGATTTGTATTAATTCATGATTCGCCTACGAATTTGATTCGCAAAATTATAGGTTGTAATTCTCGAAATTATTATATATCCCATTAAAAATTTATATTGAACTTCTTCATTCTCTTCCATTTGTAGCTAATTTGATCTGAGTGATTTGATTTGAAAAATATTAGTAATCATATATTTTTCGCAACCAAGTCGATTATTCAGATTGAAAACAATGTAAAATATTTATATTCCGTACTGTTAAAAAGGTTTTCTACCAACATTTTTATAGCAATAGCATTTTTAAATCGAGGTGAGAATATTAGGATATGATATGGTTAAGCCTATTTTTAAATCGGAAAATAAAAATGAAAACAAATTCAAACCACGCAGCTAAAGTTTAATATCCAAATTTTCGGTAAATAGGGTTCAAACTTTATCGCGGCGCGGCGAGAAGAATTCACAAATATTAATTTGTGTTCGTATGTGTGTGTGTGTAACGCAGCCTCGATAGGAACACTATAACATCGTGCAAGAGTCATGAGCAGCTGATAACAGGTAGCTTTATCTTATCTGAACGAACGATCGTCGGCCGTGTACAGGTGATTACAACGTCAGTTTCGTGAGTGAACTTTCGATGAGTATGTTGCACTCTTTGAACGCGTTAGCTGGCAAATTATCCCCAGGAGCCAACGGTGCACAGGGCAGTCCACAATCATCAGTTTTGGACACGAACGCCAATCGGGTACATCCGTATCTGAAACAGACCAACCCGTCAAGCTCAAATAGGTGAGTAGCATCTTGTTCGTATGCGGATTATGATGGGTCTACCTACACTGATCCCATAGGTCTATAACAATATTATTGGCCCAGAATTTGTCAAGTCTAGTACTAGTAATTTGAGTTTTTTGAGGTACAAACATTAGCCCTTAATATCTACAACGTTCCATCACGACCTTGATGTCGTCACTTTGTAATTGCGTTGGTGCGTGTTTTAAGTGTAAAACGTTGAAAGTTCATATTGGAACTAAATAATAGTGATCATTTCTAAATCGTTAGTATCTGGCAAAGATTATGGTAGCCTTGCGCGGTGACTTAACCTCACTTTACTTGGGTTCTTTTCTATAACACGAAACAGAAATAGTATATTATGCAAGTAACGAGTTTATTTGGCACGAGCGGAGCGACGGAATGACGTAACAAGTTTACCCAACGTGTTGTAGTAAAGTAGTATAGCATACTATGCAAACGGCATACAGGGAGTAGAAAAATCATTTTTAAACTTTATTAAAATTTAAAATTTAATAAACCCGAGTCTCCAATGCCGTTTACCACACATTTTACATAATGTTATATTATAAATTAACTATAAGCTTTCAAGGATAAAAACGCTCCTACAAAATGATCCACTAGAAAATGCAGCGAAAGTAAGGGTAACCAAAAATTGTTTTTGTCACATTTAAGAAATTCGTTTTCTTTCATGCGCATGCGCGCGTGTAAAGTTCTTAGTTATACGCGATTGTCGTCCAATAAGGCGCGTGGCTGAATCCCAGCAGTTATCAACGGGTTATTGATTTTAACTGTCGTTGTTATCACTATTTGTGTTGGAACATTTGTATCATTTTCGGCGAACTCCTTTTATCACGGCTTGAATTTTAGTGCGGCAAATGTGGCAATAAATTTCACCAAGTTTATTTGAATTCGTTGGATCGGCATATTGTTTATCGAATTAATATATTGACATAATTGTGGTGTCATTCGCATTAGCATATTGTGCCCCTTTGTGACACTAAACTTATAATAAACATAATAAATACGACTTTATTTTTAGACATTCATACTTTTCAGTAATTAATACCTTTTGCAAAATTCTTCAACTAAAATTTTGGGAATTAATATAGTACTTTCCTAACTTATCAATTAAATACATTTTTATTAATTTCTATAGGTCTACATATTTAAATCACGTCTAAACTCTTTCTTGTGACCTCTAAAACTCCTCCAAAATGTTAATCCGGACTCTACTGCTAGTTTTCTAATATCATCAATGTTTCATACATATGAACGGATTTTTTATTTTAAATCTGACAACACGAGGTCTGTCGAAACCCGACCTTCAAAATTTTATCAAAAATAACTCACTAGTTTCACACGACCTTAAATTGCGTCTTTGAAATTACGTCAAATGAATCAGTAAACTTTGTAATACCTAAATTGCTAAATTGAAAACAAAAATTATCAGGTCACAAACATCCTATGTAATTTTTATTTAGATTTTTTTGTTTTAGAGATTTCCTATTTTGTCACAAATTCAGTAGATTGGAACATAACATTTTCGTTAACCTTGAGGTAGTTTAAAAAGAAATACTCTATAATATTTTATCAAGTTTTGCAGGTCGGAGTTTTGAATTTCAATTGTAAATAAAAAATCGTGATTGTGTTATAATGAAAATACTTCTGAATAAGTATTTTGGAAGCACTTTGGGGGTCCCAAGAAACAGTTTCAAACATAACAAAGAGTAACAATAGATCATGTTCACGTAGTACAGGGTTGTACAAAAATAAAAATAGACGCCGCATGTAAAATATTTACCGTTTAATGTTAAACAATTCACACTGATACCTTAAAAGCATAAAAGCAATGATTCATCGATTCATTGATTGCGCAAAATTCGTGTATATATATATCTGATTATTCCGGAAACCCGATATATGCTGTCCCCCCTTAGGAAACCTCAAATGAAGAAAAAGCTAACGGTGATTTTAGACTTAATCTTGTTTGTTTTAATTGGAAAAATTTATTGCGTTAGACTCAAATTTAACTGGCAACTTATTATTTTATTGTTTCGTAGTCCGAAGTGGCTGCAATTAAAAAAGTGTTAAAAAAACAATCTTATCCACAATTTTAAAGAAATCATACATCATCATACATTATTGACTACCAATCTTACGTCAATAATCTAATAGAAGTACTAAGTTGGTGGATTTGCTACTAGTCGATTTTCCTTACCTTCGATCGTTGAAGCCGGAGACGGAGGGGGGATAATGATTTTCAATTATGGTGGTTCAGACTTAACGAAGAAAACGAACGCATTGCGGTTTGGAAATTCATTACACGCACAATTAGGTATCTGGCTGAGAGCCATGTCTTTGGCGTATGCCCGCTGAAGTATTTGTCTTTGGTTGCCAGACATATCGTATATTTAGATCAAGCACGACGTGTACGACATTTGATCACTCTAATTTTCTTTTCGCCAACCCGTTACACACAAGCCACTTTGTTTCAGTCTGCCGTGAATTACAAAATTGCTCTATAGAATTGGTTCCGCTTATCGTTTCTATCAACCCAGGGATATCAAAATTTCTTGGTTGATAAAGAAAGTTATATTAATTATTAGTAGGGTCCACGCGGTTTCCTCATTTTTTGGACCAATAAGTTAGAAAAAATTAGTATGATGCGCAAGGTATTATAATTATAAAGGTGGATTCGTTTTCTTCAAATCTCAGTTTATCGCTGTCTATTATTTGAATACGTCACCTATGCTGCGAAATCTTTTACCCGCAAAAACTAAGGTTAGAATCGAAATTTCAAAAGTAGCGTCTTATATGCGGATGTATTAAGTTTTAATATGCTATTGTGGCGTTACTATGCAATTTTCTATTCGTACCTTAATTACGATGCTGTCCTTTGAGGAAGCTCCTCACAAGTGATACGTGTTTTCCGGTCGCAATGGGTCATTGGACATTACCGTCAATTTTTATTTACCAGACCCTTACAGAATTACTTGTACCACCTAGGCACAGGCTAACAACTTTCTATAAAAGTTATAAAAACTCAACAAAATTACCATTCTATAGCTTTAAAAATAGGATTAAAAATGACTTAGGGAAAACTATTTTTGTACATTTTATGGAGGCATGACTTCCAGTCTAATACCATAAAATCCTTTTGTAATTTATTAAAGTGATGGCAACCATCAAATATCAGGAATAAGTAATGTGTTAATAAAATTATCTACCTATCTATACAGTGCATCTCTCAATGGGGTTAGAATGACATACCACACAGTAAATGTGGTAGAACCGTTGTTGGGTTTAAAATTACTATATAATAAATAACACATAAACACTAAATGTGATGTCAATTTATCATATATATATATATATATATATATATATATATATATATATATATATATATATATATATATATATATATATATATATATATATATATATATATATATATATATATATATATATATATATATATATATATATATATATATATATATATATATATATATATATATATATATATATATATATATATATATATATATATATATATGTATATGTATATATATATATATATATATATATATATATATATATATATATATATATATATATATATATATATATATATATATATATATATATATATATATATATGTATATGTATATATATATATATATATATATATATATATATATATATATATATATATATATATATATATATATATATATATATATATATATATATATATATATATATATATATATATATATATATATATATATATATATATTTCTCCTTCATTATCGCAACACAAATTTCACGTATGACATTTTTAACTTTTAATTTGTTTTTTATTTCAACGGCCTCCCTCTTTCACAGAGAGTTTTTTTTTTGGGCATTTGAATATCACTATATTTATTTTTAGGATATTAAAGAAAAGTTAATTGGCGTTAAACCAGCAATTGTGCTGACCAAGTGCTGAATTAATTCTCTCCTCAAAACTTCAGCGAACTCTAATAATCCCAGACTGGGTAGATGAGAATAATTGATAAAAGGATAAATAAAATAGGGCGAACCGACTGATAGGACTTGAATTTTTTTAATTTAACGCATTTTGTTTTTTTTCCTGCCTTATTTCAACATACGATTTGATAAGAACGATCTATACCGGTCCAAAGTTATTCTACGGATTCCGTATTGTTATGTATACTTACTCCCTACCTAAAACTTCTGTCGTGTCCAATACTTATTAGCTATCAGATGTTTTCTATCCCGACATGTCGATTAACTTCTTCAGTCACTCGTTTATTAAAGACTCGCTCCGCTCGTGCCAAATCAAGCTCGTGACTAAAATACCGTTAGTAAAACTTAAAATAATAGATGGTCAGCAATCCATCCAATCTCCGTTTATCATATTCAAATTGCAAATCCCGTTAAATTCGATTGTTTGTTTTTGGTTTGCCTTGTTTTTGACGCGGTATAAGTTTTATATCGTCAAATATACATTTGCATATTTACATTGTCTGGTTCACTTACTGGAAGTATGTTTTTACGGTGTGATTGTTTTAAAAAAAGCGGGCATCGTTGTTAGTAAATATTATTATAGTTACTTGAAGATTTGTGTTGAACTGAAATGTGAAATGCCTCTCTGAGGGCATCGAAAAGCAGGAGCATTACGTTTACCGATAGCTCTTGATCTCCATAATCATTCTCCGAATGATCGTGTATGCTCGCCACGTAACGTTATTTCATAAAAAAAGGAAAATAACATATCCACGTTCCATTCCTGATGTGCCTCCTCTAACGACCAAGGCAAACATATCAGAACGTGACTTATCGTTTTCATGTGCGTTACCAGAGCCCCTCCCGATATTATATGGAGTCGTCCGGAGTCCTCTACAGAATCCGGGGTCCCGGATTGAAAGGAGAATAATAATTATTTATTGTTTGGATGTGCTGCACGTTCCTTAATGCGACTTAAATA